GGGGTGCTGCTACGGGGCGGCACTCGCCCGCACTCTCATTTGTCCATGAAAAATGTGAAAAGCTCCATTTCTCCTTCTGCTGCAGAACAAAACCCAATTCTGAAGCCACAAAACAGAATTCCTATTTTCCAGCCAAATCCGCCCCAGCTGTCTGCCAGCGCCTTTCCAGAGACCGTGCGCTGTCCCGTGGGCTGGCTTTCCCAGAGAGCGATTTCCGCTGCAAATACAAAACGTCGAGCTTTGCATCCCCATCAGCTGGTAGCTCCATTTCTCCTTCTGCTGCAGAACAAAACCCAATTCTGAAGCCACAAAACAGAATTCCTATTTTCCAGCCAAATCCGCCCCAGCTGTCTGCCAGCGCCTTTCCAGAGACCGTGCGCTGTCCCGTGGGCTGGCTTTCCCAGAGAGCGATTTCCGCTGCAAATACAAAACGTCGAGCTTTGCATCCCCATCAGCTGGTGACTCGGCTGAAAGGGACGTGTCAGAGAAGGGCTTTAATCTGTCGCTCATTTAATCATGTTCCCTGCATGTTAGGTGTGGGTGACTCAGGCGGCTTTACTGCAGTTTAGGATCTCGGCTTTGAACACCGAGCAGATTTTATTTCTATAACCCTGGACTGGACTCTTGGTGCCGGTGTTTTGAAGGCTCATGCTTAACTCAGGATTTTCCAAACGAGCCCGTTCACACCCCTCCACCCCCCCACTAATAGCCACATTGGTCAAGTCATGCTGGATTCTGCCCAAAGATCCTGCAGGACGTGCTAACAGTGCATATCCGTGACCTCCGCTCACGGCCAACGCCGAGCTTTGCCAGGGCCGAGGGAGGAGGCAGACAGAGCAGCTGGTGTCTGACACACTCCAGTGCTGCTCTTGGCAGATCCAACGCACCCGGGGATTTATTAGACTTGCTCTCACTTCAAACAGATGTTTCCCAGCTGGCAGCCTTTGCGCTACCGTGTTCACAGCAGAGACTGCACCAGGGGCATGGAGAGCTACCTCACCACCATTCCCGACCCCTGGTGCACAACTGCGGCTCTTACCAGGGACACGGAATCAGGTTCCTCTGCGAATTCTTTCAAACTCAAACTCTTCTTACTTGAAACCTGGAAGAGGGGGAGGAGCGGCCGTTACTAACCCATCTCCGGAGGCCCCGAGTCGGAGCATCTCGCCTAGAACCCTCTGCTGCCCCTGTCCCCCGACACAAAGTTACGGCAATGCCGGGCGCCACGCTGCTGACATCGCCGGCATACGAACGTGCCACGTGCAAACCCTCAAGCTGTGGCGTCCGTACACGGGACATATGCTAACAAAAGGGTTACTGCAGCAGAGACAGCACGGGCTGGAGACAGGCGAACTAGGACTCACCAGCATTGGGGTGACTCTTCTTGTTTCCAACACCGACCAAAATCAGCAGCGTAAAGACGCTTTGGGAGACTGTGGGTGACGACGGTCTGGGCTTGGGGAGACCCCAGGAGCTCTCCAGACCCATGGCCAGGCTTTGGGGGAGTCATTTCCCCTCCCCCTGCCTCAGTTTCTCCTCCCTCTAACACACAGGTAACGCCAGCCCGGGGGAAGCAAGCCCTCCTGAGGCAGAGCTATTGGGTGCTGCCTAGGTGGGCTGTCAGGGGAAGCCAGCGGAAGAATCTGCATCATCTCCGAAGGATCCCAGCGCATCCTGTTACGCACAAGAGGCACTTCCCTGCATCAGGGAGTCTCCGAATTCTACTCCAGACCCTGATGCCTCACAATCAAGGGGTCAGAAGAAAGGGGGTCCTTTGGAGCTGGCTTGTGCTCTCCCTAGCTAAGGACGGAGGGTTTCCTCCCCAGACGTGTTTTACATTTCCCCTTCCATCCAACGTGCCTCACTGCTTTTATTCCGATGTGACCCCCCGGCAAGAGCCCGTCCGAACGCAAATCCCGGCAGAGCCAGGGCTTCTGCGCAGCGGCTCCAAATAGCGCACCCACGCGCCGGTAGTCGAAGCAGTCCTCGCGCAGCCAGCCTAGTTAGCGGTGACCTAGAAACGGCTGCAACTGGCTGGCAGCACAAACCAGAGGAAAGCCAGGCTCTCTGGGGCTGCGCCACGTGAATTGTGTGTCACGTCCCAATGCTCCAGGGGACGGTGCAGGCTGGTGTACGGGCGAGAAGACGCCTCAGCCTGATCGAGCAAAGGAGCCTCCTCGGTGCTCCCCCAGGTGGGGTGTGAACCCCTTTTCCCCAGTCAGAGCTAGCCCGGCCCTCGGAGGGAGGGATCGCATCCGAGGAAGGCCAACAAGCACCGTGTGGACGGGAGAGCGATGGGGAGCCAAGGTCTTGTGCTGGACCAACTCCTGCTGTGGAGAGAGCTGCTTGCCAGCGGCACAGGGCTCTTCTCCGGGGCTGCTCCAAAGCCGGGCTCTCGGCAGGAAACCAACGGTCTGAGCCCCCCTCTTGGGTCAGCCCGGCCGCCCCACCTGGGCCCAACGGCGGAGCTCCTGGGCAGTGCAACAGCACTAATATGGGAAGGAGACTTAGCTCTACCCCCAAACAGAGCCATGCAACTCCGAGGCAAACCCATTCCCAGGGCCTTCCTTCCTTCGGACACGGCCCAAAGCGGAGGCAGCGTTGCCACTGGCCAAGCACAGCAGCATCAGACCCTGGCTCGGGCCCGGGCTCCCTCCCACCAGCGGCGGGGGCTGCGGACTGGTGACAGCGGAAGGTACCTGGAGATGCGTGCAGACCCTCCTCAGCACGTCGTACACGCTGTCCCGGGAGATCAAGGACACGAAGATGTACTGAAAGCAGAGACACACGCAGTGAGACGCTGTCCGTGGGCAGCCCCAACCTTTGGCCCGGCTCCGCTGCCTGTTGGGATGCTCAGCGTTAGACTCAAGAGCGCGCTGGCGGGAGCGGGGGAACGCTCACAACGACCTGCTCTCCAGAGACGCCCGGGGCTGGTCACCAGAGCTGGTGCTGTAGCCAGCCATGCAGCCAGCTCTGCACAGCGTCATGCTGCTGGACACGGGAACAGCTCGTTTGCATCCAGAGGCCCCTCCCCCACGGTTCTAGCTCCAGTGGGAGCAGACAGGCCGACACTGGGTACTTTGGGAAACCCCCTTTCCGGTCACTCCCACAGCAAACCTAAGGGTTCGTTTTAAAACCAACAGGACTTTGCTCCCACGCAGAGCGCCTGTCGCAAGAACACCACTCTGATGGGCTCCAGAGAGCGTCATCAGCCAGCACGAAAATGCAGCCACCTCTGGGGTGGAATAGTCAGCTATCCGCAACGCTCTTCACTAATCACACAACTGGAAAGAACGCTGAGAGGCATCGAGTCCAGTCCCCTGCCTTCACAGCAGGGCCAAGCACTGTCTAGATCATCCCTGGCAGGTGTTTGTCCAACCTGCTCTTCAATATCTCCAGGGGTGGAGACTCCACGACCTCCCCCGGCAACGTATTCCAGTGTTTCACCACCTTGACAGGCAGGAAGTTTTTTCCAATGTGCGACCTAAACCTCCCTTGCTGCAATTTAAGCCCGTTGCTTTTTATCCTGTCATCAGAGATTAAGGAGAATAATTTTTCTCCTTCCTCCTTTTAATCACCTATGTCCCCATCTCCTAACCCTCTCCCTTCACCTCCCACCACCATCTCCTCCTCTTCAGACTAAGCAAGCCCAACAGGGCGTTGTTTCTAGACCTCTAATCACTTTCCTTGCTCTTCTCTAGACTTTCTCCAATTTGTCCCAAAACGCAGGGCTCCGAACTGGACACAACTCTCCAGCGGAGGCCTAAGTAGCGCAGCGCAGAAGAATGACTCCTCAGGTCTTGCTCACCGCACTCCTGCTAACACCCCCCAGAATTACATTTGCTTCTTCTGCAGTGACACATTGTTGACTCCTATTTAGCTTGTGATCCGCTGTGACCCCTAGCTCCCTTTCTGCAGCGCCCCTTCCTAGACAGCCGCTGCCCATTTGGTACGGGTGCTCCGGCCTAAGGGGAGTCATTTGCATGTGTCCGTATCGCTTTGAAGAGACGGAGGCAAGGAAACGCAGGGTGCCCATCCCTTGCAGCGGGGATGTCAGACAGGTCAGAGCTGGGACTCCAGCCAGGATGCGGGGGCTGGCTTCTAACTCCAGGAGCTAATTAGTCAGACCTGTCAGAATCTGGGTGTTGAATTCCCCCCCACCCCGTCCCTGCAAGGCAGAAGCCTCCAGCGGTGTGCAGGCCATTAGCTCAGCACCGATCCCCACGGGAAGAGGGCCACGCACCCCCGGCTTCCTGCCAGCAGCCACAGGCAGAGCGCTGCCCACCCGCCCGTATTCCACGGAGGCCTGTTCCCACGAGACAGCAGCGCACGGAAATTTCCAGGAGCCTTTTAGAGGGCTGAGCTTGCTGGACTGCCCAGAAGAAGAGAGCCTGGCTGGGGAGAAGTTGTCAGTGCAGGTTCAGAGCCAGTGGGGGAATAAGGAAGGGAGGGTACCGCTTTGCTCCAGAGGGCCCAGCCTCAAATCTTTTTCCTCCCTCCGTTGAAATGGCTGCCAAGCCAGGGTTTCCCAGCAAAACGTGGGCTCCACACGGCTTAGCTCTGCTCTCGCATTTTAGCGCCAGGAGGAGGGGCATGCAGGAGGCTGGCTGTCTCCACAAGTTCCTTCGAGCGTCTGAGTTTTGCTGAAGATGAAGCTAACACCCACCTCAACCTCTCTGTCCTATTATTGCCAGGTGTCCGGCATTCACCTGGACAGCCCAGAACTCGCGTCCCCCGTCCGGTTAAAAAAACAGCAGAAAATACCAGACGTAAAATGTCCAGTATTTCCTGTTTCCCTCGGACGGAAGCCCGGCGGGGACAATTTCCCCCTACCGCGTCTGGCGAGGGAGTGACGAGTGCGGGGCCATTTAAAAGCACAGCGCTTGTTTCTTAACAACTTTGGTCTCATCCCCCCCCGGAGAATTTTTTCCCCGGTAGTTTTTTTTTGTTTGTTTGTTTGTTTTTTCGGAGGGGTAGAGGGAGGAGAGGGGTCGGTATTTTTGGTTAAACCATCTGGCAACCCTAATCATAGATGCCCCCCGCCCCCTTGCAGGAACCGCAGCCGGTTGCTCCAGTAGGGAATTGAGGGTCGGAAGCCCCAACATTCCAAACCAGGGTTTTCATTCTCAGCCGCCCGTTCCGTCCTCGCGGCCATTCCCTACGGGCCCCCCCGCCGCAGAGAAGTGGCTAAGTTTGAGCGGCGCAAGAGACCTCTGCTCACCAGGGCGGACGAACCGGCTGAGGTCGCACGCCCCCGGATGTTACTGGTTCAGGATGTTCCCATCACACATCTGACGGGAAGCGCTGTGAGCATGTGAAACGACCGACCACGAGAGGGGCTCTTACGAAAACTCGGATCCGGCAGAAGAATCCTCAGGATTCACGGGCTCTCCAGCCGCCCTTCCAGTCACCTCCCCCGCCCAAAGCCAACGGGAGAAACACCCCAAAGGCTTCCATTTCTCAACAGGAAACCATCGCTGGCTTTGACCGTTACGTCGGTTTGACTCTGCGAAGGTTTGGCTGGAAGCCCCAGCATTGCTCAGCTCTTCGGCTCAGATCCGGCAGAAGAATCCTCAGGATTCACGGGCTCTCCAGCCGCCCTTCCAGTCACCTCCCCCGCCCAAAGCCAACGGGAGAAACACCCCAAAGGCTTCCATTTCTCAACAGGAAACCATCGCTGGCTTTGACCGTTACGTCGGTTTGACTCTGCGAAGGTTTGGCTGGAAGCCCCAGCATTGCTCAGCTCTTCGGCTCAGCCGCGGGGCCCGGGGCCGCTGGCTGGGAGGCGGGGGAGCGCAGTGCGAGTCCCCCGTCCTGGGGGGGGCCGGGTTACCGGGGTTGGCTGGAGGCCGAGTCGAGGTAGCCAGGCTCAGCTGGGCTCGCCTTTGCGTGTGGCTCAACCACACACACACGCTTCATGGGCGGGGTGAGGGGAACTGAGAGCAACCATCCCCTGGCTGCGGTGTCCACTGAGGACTCTGGCCCAAGCCCAGCCTGCAGCACTGGGCCTCCGCACACCCCCCTGCGCCGCCACAGATGTTTCCTCTCCATCTCCGGGCCCTGGCTGTCTCGTGCTGCTACAAGCAGCTAATCAGCTGCCATGCCTCACCCCAGCAGTGGCTGCACCAATAAGGCCCATCCTTCATCCTCACTCACCCCAACTCTCACGGCCTAGAACGCGTCTCTAAACACGCAATGCCCCACAGGATCCGGGTTAGCTGAGGGATGGTTTTGAAGGAGGGAGACAGCGTACGTTCTGGATTTTAACACCACACGTGTCCCCGGCCGTCTCGGCAAAGCAACAGGGCAGAGCAGCCTGGGGCCGACCAGACCGGGACACGAGCCCACAGGCCGGCACGAAGCGGGAAGCCGGCTCGCTTACCTTCCTGCTGGCCGTGGTGGGGATAGCCAGCCCGTTGGGCAGCAGCCGGGCCGTCTTGTGCTTCTTGATCAACTGAACGGAGACCACCGGGATCACCACCTGGGAGGCAGAACACACCGCTACGGATACAGCCGACAGGCAGGCCCGGAGGGGGAACCCGCCAGGGAGCTGCCAGTTCTGTGCTCCCGGCAGGGACAGGGGGCAATAAGCCAGGGGCTGGGCAGGGTGCGTGTATGCTGCAATAAGGGGTCAGCAAGGGGCCTGAATGCCTACAGGGCTGTTCTAAAGCCCGGCAGCCGAGCCAGGCCTGGAGACGCTGCGCCTGGGCCCCCCGCACGCATCCACGCAAGGGACCTTACATGTCGGTTATTTGAATAGTCGGGGAACATCGGGAACTCTCCCGGTTACTGGACTAGCTCACCCCGGGCTCCACGCGGCGCTTTTGCCCAAGGGCCGTTGCTACACTTCAAAGGAGGCGGCGCCCTATCGACCAATCCAATAGTCCATGCAAAATGCACCGACTATTCGATTAGTCAATTACCCGCTACTTAACTTCCTTATGGCAGCCCGGCTGCCTGTTTCCCTGCGCTGCTGCCTCTGATGAAGAGACAGGTCTGAACTCCAGCCAGGACTGAACCGGGCTGCTGGCCAGCCTACTAAAAAATGTACTGGCAGCGGGGGGAAATGCATGCAGTCTGTAGCATTCACCTATGAGCTTTTGCCTACCAGTTAATCGGCTACACTAGCACATCCCTAAGCCGTAGCCACACTGGCCAGCGAGGGTTAAATGCAATTCGGATTGGAGCCCCAGTGCACAGAACGAGACAAACAGCATGCGCCAGGCAGCTGGAATTCCTGCGCTGCCTAGCGTCAGAGAGCTCCACTTTGCAAGCCAGGGGACGGGTTTTAGCCTCGTAAAACACAGCGCCCCCGTCGCCAGTACACGGCTGTCCAACAGCCTCCCGTGTAGGCGGCGACCTGGCGGCCATCGCGGGCTGGGCACATCTTCACATTGGCAGCATTCGGGCTCTCCGCACTCCAGGGTTAACCTCGGCTTCAGACGGGGTCTGAGTTTATACAGTCTCAGTACAGCCGACGCAGAAAGAGGCCCTGGTCCAACACCACAGGGCTGCTCTGCAGCCAGGGACCTCGATAAGGATCCCTGCATTCAAGGGCACAGTCAAAAATAAACCGGGACATAGTTTCCTAGCAGGACAACTTCACTGAAACATGCTCAGCTTTGGGAGCTGCCGCGCATTCCTTCGCTCCGAGATTTGTTTGAACAGGAATAGCCTGGGATGAATAATTCAGCTGCGTGGCCCAGTTTTTAAAAGAGTCTGTTCCAAAAAAACACAAGGAAGTTACCCATCAGCTCCAGCATTGACGGGCAAACGGCCAACGACCGCCCTGGCAGAGAGCGGAGAGGAAGCTGGAGATCGGCTTCAGAAGCTCTGGGGGCCTCTGGTTGAGGCCCGGACAGTCTGAGCCTCCACGAGTATTTGCGGCGTGGAATTAAAAAGCCCACCCTAACGACAAGCACTGGCTCCCGTGCGCGGCCTCTGAGGTTACTAGACAGGCCGCTGGCTCCCCCAGCAGCACACGGAAATCCCCAGCCCCATTTGGGCCCCGTGGCAACAGCAGAACCTGGGGGGAAGGGACTCGGCCTAAGAGCCATGGGAGCTCGGTACAAGACTGTGCTGCTGGTGCACGTGAAGGGCAGAGGGAAGGGGGCATCAGGCCCCCGCGGGACGGGGGGAGCGCAGGCAGGGAGGCGGCCGCCCAGGCTGGCGGGGCGGGGGCGCTGCGGTACCTTGATGTCCTTCCCGAAGAGGTTGGCGTGGAAGCAGAGCCAGTTGGGCGAGATGTAGAGCCGGCCCTGGATCAGGATGTCTCGCTGGAGCGCACAGGAGCAGACTGCAACACATGCAGAGGTCACAAGGGGGGACCCAGGCCTACAGCAAAACCCACGGAGCCCTGTGCTCAGGCCACTGGCCTGGGGACCCAGCTGGCGGCCAGGCCCTGCCCAGTCACGTGGAAAGGGGAGGGCAGCTGGCAGGGGCAGCAGGCACTGGACATGCCAGCCATGGCCCCGCCTGCAGGGTGGCTGGGGTGAGGCCAGGCTGGGGGGGCAGCGACTGGGGGGGCAGGGACTGGGGAAGCTCCGCACAGCGGGGTGCCTTGGGCTCTGGGGGAGTAAGGGAAGAAGGGTGGGAGGGGACAAAAGGGGAGGGGCCCAGGACTAGCTGCTCCAGCCCCGCCCCTCACCTTTCAAGACGCTCTCCTCCATGGGGATGTCCTTGAACAGCTTGTGGTACTGAGAGTTGTACTTGCTGGGGAGCTGGAAATTAAAGACGGTCGGGCAGTCAGACGGGTCCTCGTCTCCCCTGGGATAGGACCCGCCCAGGTCCTTCTACACCAGCAGCATGGGCCCTGCCGCTGGAGCGAAAGGAGGATGGTGGAGAGCAGAAGGGGGGCTATGCAGAGTGCCCGGAGCTCACTGAGCCTGGCCAGCCCCTGACCACTCTGAGTTCAGCTGGGGGTGAAAATCCGAGCACTTGTGTGTGGCCAAAGGGTTTTGGCCCGGCTCTGCTCTTCCCTCCCTCGGCATCCCACGCCGAGGAGCCGGGAGCACGAGGCACGGTGCGGCGCAAACGGCGGAGGAACTGACGAGCGGCCGATCAAAGCAGCGTGGTCACCGAGTGCCCCGGGTGCAGAGACAGCAGGGACGTCAGGACTGGTTTCAAAAGGAAACCGTGTACGTGCCACGAACCCCAGCGGCTGCCCGCCGGGCCTGCTCCTGGCTCCTCTGTGGGCTCTGCAGCCGGCTCCCCGGGAATGGAGCCGACAGCCCTTGGCAGCCCCCCAGGCAGAGCCGCAAGTAACCTGCGGTGCAGGGGCCGGGCCCACCACGGACGGGGCTGCTCGCGGTTAGCCAGTTAACCTCTCACGTCCCTAGCGAGCAGGCCCTAAGCTAAGGCAAGAGAGCAGCTGGCTACGAGGGACCGGACGGGCAGCACGGACCCAGAGAATTCAACTTCCTGGAGAACACGGAGGCAAAACATCCCCTGCTGGCTGCTCACTGGGGCCTTCCAGCGCCTCAGGCCCAGCGGGGAGGGGCCAGCCAGGTCTCCGGGGCCCGCCCCAGGCCCACCAGCGCGCCGGCCCAGTCAGGCAACTGCAAAGGTTAAACAGCCACGTGCCAGTAGCTCTCTGCTAGCCCAGTGACGGGTGGAGAGGAGCCCTCCCCAGGCCGTACAAGTGGGAGGGAGGGAGTTTACCCTTCGATTGGGTTCCTTCAACAGCCCTCCCTGTGCCATCTGGGCTGGGCCTGACCCATGTGCCACCGCAACCGGGACCACGGGCCTGACCCGGGTACCACCGCAACCGGGACCACGGGCCTGACCCGGGTACCACCGCAACCGGGACCACGGGCCTGACCCGGGTACCACCGCAACCGGGACCACGGGCCTGACCCGGGTACCACCGGAGCCGTTTGCACAATGGATTTATTCAGAAGAAATAAACCAAGTCCCTCACGAGCAATTCCGCCTACCTGGCTGGGCTCTGTCATTGGCTCATGGCCGGCACTGCGTGGCCAATGGGTTCCAAGGCAGCAGAGAGCCCGGACCCGCCCTTCGTCCACAGCTAGAAGACACCCCACTGCCTCTGTCCCCATCCAGGGCCCCGGCCTGGCCTACAGCTGGGGAACCACAAACGGCCAGAGGAACCTCCCCCGAACATCAGACGTGGGCCGCTGCAAGAGCCGGCCTCTTCCGCCAGGGTCTGCGCGGGCGACAGTGACGGGGTGGCCAGCAAGTCAGCAGGGACAGTGGGGAGCCCAGAGGCCTGCGTGCCCCCGCAGCACCATGGGGTGGGGGAGAGCAGGACCCCGGCTAGCCTCATCTCCCAACGGCAGCTCCGAGGCCGTGGCTTGAAGCGTCTCCGCGCACCGTGCCCGTGAGACGCCGGTACAGGTTGGTGGAGCAGCCGACGCACAGAGGCGGGGCTGAACCCGCCCGGCGGCACTCAGAGCTGCCGTCTCACCGGCCCTCGCTGCTCTGAGCCCGGGATCGCTCTCGGCCGTGCAATTGTACCCCTCTTGGTTAAGCACCTGATTCCCCGCTGCCCAGCCAGGAGGGTGAGAGGCGCTAACCCGCCGCGGCACAGCTGGCTCCGGTCGGCCGGCTGCTTGCACAGCTGCAGCTGCTGGGTTACAAACTGCCCCGGAGACATTTGGCCTGGGGCTGCGTCTGGGCCCTGCTGCCCCTCCTGTCC